AAGTAAAATGAACTTCTGTTAGCTGTCTGCAAGGAACTGTCTATGTCTTGCCTATGAAGAGACTTTTACACTTACGAGTATTAGGCTCGGATGAAACATTATCTCAGACTACTCTCTCCCTCTTTCTGGAGCACTAAAATCTGAATTTTTCTGTCTTTGTTTTGATAGGACCTGGGGATGAGTTCTCAGGAAAACTATTTTGCCTTACCTGGTTGTATTTCTTCATGTTTTCCTTAGAGCCATAGTCATAAGCTTGAAACTGGTCTGCATGTGTTAGCTGTTAAAAGAACAGGAAAAAAGTAAGTGTTGAGAGACCAAGAAGCACAGTGCAGGAGGCACTTTCCTGCCTCTGACTGAAGCCAAGGCTCAGACAGTGGACTGTAACTCCCACCCCTTCCCCTGGCTGCAGCCTTCCAGGGGTACAGAGGATGGATCATAGGATGGGTGGCTTCATCGCCTTTCCTCTTGCTACCTTTCTCTTCTGACCCTCAGCCACCACCCTTGGTATATTTTGTTATTAAAATTTTGCTTGACTACCTCAGTTAACTACCTACCTCAGTTGGGGTCCCTGTTTGTGATGCAAAATTGGGTTCAGTTGTCACATGGAAAGAGGAGCTGAATGTCTGCAACATGTCAGGGCTATTGCTAGTCTATTGCAATATAAAATCTCTCCTTACTCATCTTGTTTTTTGAGTGTCTGTTTTGTCTGATCTGCTCACAGTATTGGTGACATTTTCAGAGGTTCTGTACTTCTTACAGGAGTTTGGTCATACCTGAGTTGTGATCTGACAGCAATTTTGAGGTGGGACATTAGACACAAGACATTAGCCTTCTCGCGTCAGTGTTGACTAAAAGACATGATATGTGCCGTGGGACTGATAAGTGAAGAGTTTGGGGATCTGTCACATCTGTTTGGATTTTTTGTTTGTTTGTTTGGGTTTTTTTTGTATTTTTTTTTCCCCACAAACTTGAAAGTAGTATTTTTTAGTGGTTATATGTTATATATCCATGGTGAAAGTCAGTGCCTGTTAGTTTAGAAAACCCTGATTTCAAGGCTTCAGGTAACTGGGAATGTGCTAGAAATCTGTTGCTGCATTTCCTTGTGATTTTCTTCTGTCCTGCTGTATCTGTGCCTGCTTTGTAGCCAATTGGCTTTGTTAGAGGCTGGCAAAACAGGCTGTAAAACTAGTGGCTGTTGGTGGTGTGTCCCCATTTCCGGGTTCTGGGTAAGTGTATTCTGCAGGACCGATTACTAGGATTTTTTGTCAAGGGTGTCCGCAGAGTACACTTGTATTCTAAGCCATGCTGAATGTTTTCAGAAGTGGGGGGGTGGGGTGGGGTGGGTATGCCTATGGAATGTATGCAGATCTGTGCTCAGCAGGCACAGCCGGACACATGCAGTGACGTTTCTTGGTTGAAGCTGTCTTGCCCAGGTCTGATTCAGATCACGAGAAGAACAAGCTCAGATCTGCCAGTGCATAAGTAGAAACCCAGCTTCAGAGAACTGGAATACAGGACCTGGGCTGTGGCAAGAGTGACTAAAAAGATTTTGGAAAAATCTGGCTGTTGGGAACATCCCTGCAGAGGAATGCTGCTTGTCATGTACTGTAGTAGTGTAAGGCAGTTCCTAACTTTACTGTTTTGCCGGCAGAAGTGTCTGTGTGGTCAACTGGCTTTGTGATCCAGGCCAGGCTGCAAGCCTGGGGAGATCTCAGTGCCTGGGAGCAAGGGCACAATTCAGGTAATGGTCTGGTGAGCCATGGGAAATGGTGCTCCCTCTGTGGCAGGTTCTCACAGCAGCATGGGAGATGTGATGGGCAAGTTTCCCACATCTACTGCTTCTGGACTTCCCTGGAGGCTGTTGGTGGCATAAAACGCAGTAATGAAGGACTGTTTATTCATCAGTGCACAGTTATACCTGATGCCAATGAATAATGTTCTGTACTGATGTCCCGGCCGGGGCATGTCCTACGTATATATCTGTTCGACTCTGGAGGGAAAGCAGAAGTGTTAGAAGGGCAGGCATCCAGTGGTGTGACAGAATAAAGCTGTGAAGCGCCTGAGCAGCATACTGCTGCTGTGTTAAAACCCCGTTTTAATAACATATCCCTCAAATATCAGGCAGAAAACTGAAAAGCAGACATAGGAATAACTGGTTAATAGTATGAATCTGCAACAGTAGGGAAAAACCTTCCCAACCTTTTAAAGCAGATTCCTCACCTCATACAAAAACCCCATGGATGTAGAAGTCTTTTGAAGATTTGGTTTTCTCTTCACTTTACTCCTGTTACTAAAGAAGCCAGCTTACAAACAGGTTGTTTTTTCTTCTGTTTGCACTTCTATAGTTCTGTTAAGGAGATGTTCGAATTCCATCTTCTTGGATTCCTCCTCAGACTTGTTATCTTGCCCGACAACCACATTAATGACTTAACCCAAGTCAGGAAAGATCCTTAATGGTTTATCTCTGTAATTCCAAAGGGCTGCAATGCCTTTAAATGCTTTTGCATTAAACTTTTGATTCTCACTGCTTTCTCAAATGTGCTTTTACATGTGGTTATAGAGAAAAATGGGCCACAGTCTTTACAGATATTGCAGTAGTAAACATTACTCAAGACAGCTTCTGCATACTTTGGCCACTGTAGGGGTTTTAAGATATATTACAGTGTCCATATGTCAGAAAGCATAGGGACAACTCTCCTGTTTCTCCTGCCCTCTCTGAGTGATGCACCAGTCTTTGTGAATCCCATTATAGGTGTGATGCACTCATCAGGAACAAGTGCAAGGACTTTCTGTAGCTCTACAGGTTGTGGACTGAGCTATCAGGCACAGTTCTAAGGACAATCAAAATGGGAAAATGCCCTTTACAGTAATTCTTTGGGATTGAGTTCTGGTTCAAGTAGTCAGAAAAGTGCAAAGAGAAAAGGATCTTTTTCCTGTCTTTTAATTATTCCAGCATTTATAGGACCCCAGTGTTCAAATTCTAAGGAAGGAAACTGAGAAGTGTATTACCAAGAAACCATCTGACTCCATCATCCATTGGCTATTTTTAAAGAGCACCAAAATCTGGCTGACCTAGCCCCAAAAGAAGGCAAATCTCTTGACACGTGCAATATTGCTCCTGGAGTCCTGGAGTTAGAATGTGTCTAGTTTTGGTCCTATCCATCATTAACTCTAGTCCTGTTTGGCACTGTTTGCACCACACAATGTCCTGGCATTCTCTCGCTGTGCTGAGAAATACATTGTGGTTTATGTATGTTTACATGTGTGACAGTGACTAGGTAAGGATAGAGTGCACAAATGGAACTTTCAAAATCACCTTAATTTAACTTTGAATAGGTGTTCTTGCATATACGTACCGTGTTCAGATTTTTTATGTTGCCTCCAGCTATGTAGCATAATACATGGCCACAAAACTTATCCAGGTTTGTACACAACTCTGTCACAGGTCCTTTCAGAAATCCGATTTGGTGCATGGCTCCTTTGTAGCCAAATACTAACTGAAGGAAGGGAAAAAATAAGTGTTTTTTTTTCTTGTTACAGGAACATCTTACGCAGGAAACTGTTGCTAATACCTTAGTCTCCTAACTCAGTATTCAAAGTTTGCTGAAACAAAAGAACTTGCCCTCTCAGTACCCCTTGAAACACCTTTTTCCCCATAGTGCATAACACATCCTTTCTTCTTCATGTTAGTGGCATCAGTCCTGGAGGAAGCCATCCTTCCATTTCTAGTGTAATGAACTCAGTGTTCACTAATTTCTGAAGTCCCAGAAATTGTCATGGCTGTAATTGCAGCTCTGGTTTAGCTGCTCCTGCACAAGGCCAGCAAAATATTAGTTAACAGCAAGTCCTACAACAAGACAGTTTCACAAGTCTCCTACTTCCCTGGGACCTGCTGCTACAGGCCCTGTATCTCCAATATTTTCCCCACAGGGTTTGGGAACAGATTTTTCAAGAGCACTCGATTCTTCCCAAGCTCAGTATCAGCATGTCACCTGTTTGGGAACACTTTGTCTCAGATTGAGTGATCCCTGCACATGTAAGTCAGGCATTGGGCCTCTTAGAAGGAAAAATGACATACCCTAAGCAGTGAATCAGGAACATTTGTTATCTTAATCAGAGGGCTTGTAGCGTATAAGCATGTGGTTACTGGGCCCAGAGCACAGAACATTTTCACTCGTTTAGACAGCTCAGGATATGTAGAAAATGCTATGAAACCTGCAAACACAGAAGAGCCATCCAGAGTTAGTGAAGACATCTTCCACAGACAAAATAAATACATAAGCAGTAGGTAGCAAACAAGAAGTGAGACTAGATTTGCAGCTCGTTATCTGTTGTCCGTGTTTGTTTGTGCTGCATGTTTCACCTAAGGCAAGTGATGAAGCTAAGTCCTGAAATGAATTTTATTTGAGAGGCAAAGTTAATTCTGAGGTTTAGAGCATGTCTGGACATTGCCTTTATCAGACCAGATTTTGTAGGCAACATGTCAATGAGGTTTTCATGATAAAATTAATTCCCTTTAAAGTTCAAAAAGCTCTCATAAAAAATGAGTTTTCAGATTATAGTCTCTAAAGGTCTATGTATGTTTATGCTTCCATGAAACTGTAGGATAAGATGAATCTGGAAGCGTTGAGTGTTTTCAAATGATTGTTTGCATTAAAGGCAGCTGAAGAAAGCCTAGATGGTTAGTATTTTTTGGAAGGTCTTTAAATACTCTTATGAGAGGAAAAGAAATAAAAGGTCTGGAGTTGTGACAGTATATGACTTTCCCACATTTCCTTCTCTTTTTTTCTGGGCCGTTTACACTAATGAACTGGAAGTTGCTCATTTCTAATTGATGTCTATTCATAGATCTTACACATAAGCCATAGACATCAGGAAATTTCAGCAGATGCTAAAAGAAAGTTAGCTGCATTCAGAGGCCATGAAGTCAGTTAGTGTTAAAGGCTTGCAATAAGAGAAAGTAAGTTGTTAATGTTTTATTCTTCCCTGATTTTCAGTCTCTAGCAATATGCTTTTAAATAGTAATGTGGCCAGTTATAGCCACTTATGAACAATGCTTTTAATCGTAACATTGCCATTAAGTCACATGACTTAGTAATGTTGAGGTTCTTTTTCCCTGTGTTCTGTTGTTTGAAATTATGCATTATTTGTCCTGTTTCATGTTTTTAGTTTTTCCTTCCTGTTCACAAGGAAAATAGTTGTATGTCTTAATAGAAAATATGAACTTAATGAAAATTCCTGTTGCTGAGAATTTAAGAAAAATACCCAGTGCCGGTACCTGAAATACCTAGTAGATAACCACTTTTATGTCTCTAATTATTTTAAAAGTTCAACCATATTTGGATCTGCTACTAGGTTTCTTTGCTTATTAAGACTAACCAAAACTGGTTTTGGAAATGTTTTACATATTTTCCAAATTTCAGCTCAGAAGGCACTTGTATGTTTGCTAGCTCTCCACAAACAAGAAAAACAACTGAATCAATGGGGCAACCCACCTACTGATCAGATAGGAACATGAATGGTTGTGACCCATCAATGTCCTGACATTACCTATTGTTGTGCCTTCAGAGTGACCAACATAATATAAATCCTTCTGTCCAGTTTTATTCATGATGAAGTACAGCTCTGCTGGAATGTCATATTTACCCATTTCATCAAAGCTAAAGGGGAGAAACAGAAAAAGTTTGCAGATTATTTGGCTGTCACAGTGGGGGTTACTGAACATCACTTTTGTTCACTGCAGCTCTACTGCCAGGCTGCCTGATGCCTTGGGCTCTCGGTGGAGGAGGTACCAGCTTCACCTGTCAGCTGCAGCCCTTGAGGAACTGAATTTAATCATTGCCTCAGTAGCATGGGTTACCAAACATATTTCTCTCTTGGCTGAATTCAGTTGTGAGAGACCAGGGATTTCTAGATAAGGCTGTTTAGCCTGTTCCAGCTGAGGTTTTTGCTCTCCTCCTCACAGTACTATCTCCCTTTTCCTCAGCATCCCATTTCAGTTCCAAGTGTCTGAAATCTATTCCTCAGCCAATGTTTCCAACTCTGAGGAGTAACGAGCATCACCTCTTTGTCTAGTTCTTTTCTCTTCTTGGTTGGTCTAGACCCTGTTCTGATACATGTTTAAGTAAAAAACATCAGGCTAATGCTATCAAGTCCTCTGAGAGTTTTTGTTTTGAGTAATTCTCCCTCTACAGAGTACCTGAACTGCCAGAACTCTTTCTGGCTGGGATTAAGGGTTTTGTGTTTTAAAGACCAAGTGTTCCCTCGGCTGTTTCCCATCCAGACATCATAGCCAGCATCTGCGAGGAGGAAGCCCAAGCTGTTGTTGGGCAGGTTAGAAATCCAGTGGGTAGCATCTCCTAGAAAAGCATGCTGCAGGAAGACTACAGGTTTTTGCCCTGGAAAAGAGGAAAATATTCTTTTATTGGAGTAGTAGTTAATGTGTATTTAAGATTGGCTTGCAGTGTTTAGTTTGTGAGAGGCTTTAAATCTTTACTTTTTCAAAAAGCTCCCAGGACAACTATGCATAGATATTGGTCTGAAAAACCTGAAGTATTTGTTCCAAACAGGAACCTTTTCATGACTTTTCATAACCATTTCATGATAGGACTGGCAAATAAAGTATTTTACGAGGAGGTCTGTTCCCACCTCCTCTTGCAGTAGAAAGCCAAATTACAGGTCCCTATATTAAAACCCTCTACCCACAGATAAAAACTGCTAAAGGCATAACTGTGTATGGAAATAAATAATTCATCCAAAGAAGCATATCTACCCTTAGGTTTATTCAGTAACCAACAGAGCAGGGCTGAGAGTCCCCTGATCTAACTTTGGTTAACATTTGAGGGTGAGGCTGGTCCAGGTGATCTCCAAAGGGAGAGATCCAAATAGAAGTAGGCATTCAAAATAAATTATTCTTTAATTATAACAAGGAGTAATGAACAAAACAGCAGTAACTAGTGTACCTTGAATTCAAGGTAAAAAATTTTATTTCATTCAGAAAATGTGATGAAACAGATGAAATGCATTTGCTTTTCCTTGATGACCTGATTTCACCTTCCTTAAGAATATCTCTGTCTTTCAGAAGTTTGGGAATTAATACATATATGGCTAACCTGAGAGGCTTTCTTGTCAGGCTTCTATTTTGATGTATATTACTTAGGGTATTAATGCAAAACCTCGCCAAATCCAGTCTACCAAACCCTCCCTCAGTCCACGAGGGATAAAAACCTGGGATATGACAAAACTATTAGAAAAATCTGAAATAAGGACAGAGACACTAAATGTGTGAACTTTAGATGGATTCAGAATTCAGACCACATTCCTGACTAGGTGCTCTTGCTGAGATGAAAAGGTGTAGAACATGCCAATGCATGTACGAAGGAGAAAGATGGGGAACCCATGTAAGAATTGGCTCTCAGACCTTCCTTATGTCCTATAACTCTGTCACACCTGTATTTCGGTTGTTCCTCCCACCAGGAATTCTGAAAACACCAAGAATGTATCCATCCTTCGTAGTAACTTGATATTCCTCACTGGGGTATCCATGATATCTGATAATTTCACTCTGTGAGAAGCCAAAGGAGAATTTGTTAACCTGCAAGTTAACCAAGCCGAGCAGTGTGGATGTGGGCTGTTCTGTGATGGCCACAGGGACCATGGCTAGGAACAAATATTAACAGGTCTTGTAAACAGATGCATCAAAAGTCTTCAGACCTGCTTAGGTGGTTGTTGTCTGGTATTTGACCCCATATAATGGGACAAAGCAGAACTGCACTGAGTGACTAAACTTTTGGGGGATAGTTTGTCATGTCTTGCAAGGCTGATACAGATCATACCTTTGTACAGATTAAATACTTAGCAGTATCTGTATAAGGCAGTGCCAAAAGCTGTGGGGTTTGGTCCATAATGAAGCTGTTCTTGCCAAAGTGTGGTTAGGCAAGCAATGCAGGCAAGCAAACAAGGGTGGAGCTCTTGTCACTAAAGAGCTCATGAGACCACCTACACCTAATTTTGCATGTACTGCGAGTAAATCTTTGGTGATTCAGAGCAAGGGACCTTGGATGACTTTATGTTGTGAGACTCTGTTGTTTGAAGAAGAGATTCATCCTCCCTTGCCACTTTACTAAGCAAATGGGTTGTCACAGAAGGGGAGGACTTTGCTTTTCTTGAGACTAGAAAATAGCTTTTGCCTCCACTGCAAAGGAATTCTCTTTGGCAGCTCAGATTGTTTGAATAGAAACATCAAGGTTTCTTCTAGGCCAGTGCTTCCTATCATAGTGTTGGAGGGATCATTGTCTTCTTGCCAGAATTGCATCCTTCCGTTCTTTGTGCGTTAGTTTGGGTTTTGTCCTCAAAACCCCAACATCTGTTGAGAAAGGTGGCTGCAAACAAGCACCATGAGACATGGCCCAGCCTCGTGTTCATCATGTATCCATTGAGGTGCACCCTAAATGCAGGCAGAGAAAGTCTGTTATTCAGTTTGGTAGGAACTGGAGCATGAAGTTTGTTGTCTGGCCACAGTCCAGGGATGACTGGTGGTGGTGTAAAAATTCAGTAACCTGGATCTCCAGTGCTCCTTAGGAGGTTCTGTGGAGTTGCCTGGCCTTGGAGACAAAAGTAGCAGCCAGCACTCTCCATTGCAGTGCTGTGTGTCTATCCTCTTGCAATGTGCAAGAATCACATCTGTCCCTGGCACATACAGAGCTGGCCACCATTGCAGCGGTGACTCTAATGCAGTGGTTTTGGAAAAGGCAGGTTGGGAAAGGGGAAATGTCAAAGTGGCCATTCTTAGCCTCCCGACAGGAGCTGATAGTGATGAGGCAGTGGTACTGGGAGAGAAAATTTAGAAAGACAGGGAGAGAAGTTGACCGAACTTACAACGTTCATTAAACATTCAGGGTTGCGAATCTTCCTGTACTGGCTTTTGTCTGAATTCAGAGTGGAGGGGGGTGTGAATCCCGCTGAAAAGGCAATTCCTTTGGGTTTTTTTACTTCTTGGGGCTGTGTGAAAGATCACATGCAGGGGTGTTTGTGTTAGTAAGAGCGTGCTGCGGAATTGCATGGGAAGACCCAAATGGGGAGTCTCCTGAAGGTTGCCCAAGGTCTGTTCCCCAGGGGGCTGCCAGAACAAGTATCTATGTGAGGAGGTCATGCCGTGTAACAGGTAGGGTTGCAAAACAGGTGAGGAAAACACTTGGGGATACCATGCGAGAATATGCCTGAGGACTCTGCAGATGACAAGGAAACTGTGGTTGGTAGAGCCAGCTCTTGGCAGGAGTCTAGCAGAAGCTTGACAAAGAATACCTGAGATGATCATCACCCAGCTTGTCTGTCTTTATCTACCTCCACTTCTCTGCCAGAAGGAGAGGTGAAAGAAGAAAGCACTATTTGTTTCCTGTCTCCTCAGGAATGAGGTGAGAAGGGTTTAGGATGAGCTCTCCACCTGCCCTCTACTCCTTTGGGATCAAATGCCATTTTTGGTGCTGATCAGTGATGTGCTGGATGAAAGATCAATCAATGAGGCTCATGAAGGGTCGTGCAGGGATTAGGGACTCGGTGAGATGTAACAGGCTTAGGGGAACATGTCTGCACCAGAACCATCCCAGCTCGTGTTTTCACCATGGGGTGATGTGCCTCAGACCAGGTTCGAATTCTTTTTGAAATTAGTTCCTCTGAGAATATGAAGTGAAGAAGGTGACCATGTGTGGCTCTCTAGAAGCCCCATGAGTCAGTTGCCAGTTAACCTTGCCTTTCAGATTGGAACTGAGTCATCTAAGTCTCCATGTACCATTCCCTCAGCTGCCTTCATCAACCCCTTGCTTCCCACTTCTTCCAAGAACCTATTTTGCTGCCCCCAGAAAATTGCATTTTTCCTAGTGCTACTTCTGAGCCCAAAGTTTCTGTTTCCAAAAATTGGTATTGTCACCAGCTGAGAAACCACAGAATGGTTTGGTTTTAGTGCAGTGAACAATGGATCACGAGACTGCTTTCATATTGCCAAGGGTCCATTTCCTTTACCTCTTAGAAGTGGCTGTCTGCATTACAAATCTTGTCTTGGTCATGGGGAGATGAAACCTTGCCCTTTCATGAGTTGACTGATGGTACCAGATTAGCTTTTCTGAATAGAAATTGAAGAGAGCAGTCTATGTAGCACCAGTTTATGCCGACTCCACCTACGGTAGATATGCTTCCAGGTTTTACTCTTTTTTTTTCCAGAACCCAGTCAATGAGTGAAGGAACATATCCCTTTTCTAGTGAGTCTTTGAGCCCTGTGAGCTTCCCTGACCTTTTTTTTCAACATGTAAATTTTGACTCAAAGGCTCCCTAGAGAAGGGAAGAGCCGGTTCTGCGTCCCGGAAAGTTATTGGGTGTGGGACTACAGGTTAAAACTGTTTGGAGAGCAAGAGAAGTGCTGACACATTCAGCCCTCCTTGCCTACAAGAGAACTGCAAGTAGGTAGGATACGATTTTTCTTTCCAATGTGAAGAACTGTACAAAAAGGATTAATCCATGAAGGTACAGATCAACAGAAATTAAGAGAGTATTCATGGTAAGTAACGGGGAAGAGGAGCAGGATTTGTGGGAGTAAGGAAGAGATAACCAAGAGGTTTATGCAATTTCTAAATCTCCTTATAAGAGAAGGTTTTGACTTTTTCTGATCTTCAATTTAACCTTTAAATTTGACAAAAAAAATTTAAAGATGTCAAACGTCCCGAGTCATCAGACAGCTAGAATGAAGAAGAGTTTGGAAACACCCAAAACTTTAAACTTGGCATCAAAACACACTTAATTTGATTCCCTTTGTATATCAAATACTTCTTAATTTTTGTTGTCTAAACAGGGAGCCTCACAATTATGTACTCAGTCAGCACAACACTCCTTTTTGCTTTCTGCTGGTTTACTTTGTTCTAGTGAGAGTAAAATAAGCCTCCCTCTCCCTGCATGGGAAATCTAATTTGGGAAGAAAAAGTTCTGCTAATGTCTCAGCTTGTTTTCAAATCACTACCAAGACTAGTTGAGGCAAAGCAGAGGCTAAATTCTTACTCTTGTTAGGGCAAACTTTTCTCAATGTATTCTATGATCAACTGGCTTAGCTGGCATGGCTCATGGACTTCCAGGTATTTGTCTTTTAAATCAGATACAGAGGGCTAAGTAATATCAGTCTTGGCAGGCCGCTGCTCCCTTAAGCTTCAGGAATAAACACTTTACAGCTAGAAGCCATGAACAGCCATTTTTATCTAATGAGATAAAGTCATAAGGAAATATTGGGCATGGTAAACTCTCAGAAAAGAACATAGTAAGAAGGAAAGAAGGGTCAGAGAGAAATGCCCTTGAAAGTTTTTTAGGCACTTTAAATATTTAGTGAAACTAAGATAAAAGCCCTTCAGAAATTTATACATCTATCCTTGTGCTTTAAGCAGTCTAAAATTTATTTCATATAAGCTGTAAGGCATACACACACCAACCAAAGAAGCAACTGTGACTCAGTGCATGTGAGAATCTCCTGCCTTACTCATTAACAAAACAGGCATGAGAATGAAATTGCAATACCAGGACTTTCATTCCCTCGTTCTCAGGATGAAGGAAACAAGTACAAGAAAATGTAATAGTTGCCCTTTTTCTTCTTTTTGTACAAGTCAAACTTCTTTGCCTTTCAACTTGAGCAAGCATGCACTTCTGTGCATAGCAATAGGCTTACAGATGAGAGAGGCAAAAAATATCTATTCTTACAAACAACTGCAAAAAACCAAGACTGCATATCTTCATGGGGACAGGAAACACAGAAAAGAAACATGAACACATGTAGAAGCAACGTACCTCTGCTTTGTCTGCCTTGCTTGTGCCTTCTGCTGCAGCTCCTGGTGTCTCCACCAGCAGACTGATTCACTGGCAGAAACCTGCGCCGATAAAAGGAAGTCAAAACACAATGAGCACTTCAGGGTAGCAGCTGTGAGTGTCATGAGTTGGCAGCATGAATTGTAGAGCGTGTTTAAGTGCTGATTTGGCAGTGCTTCAGAAGTGTGGAAATCTTTGTGATGAAAAAGATCTTCTGGTTAAATTCACAAACCCAAAATGCATGATGGAGCAGGAGAGTTTAAGAAGTACCTACAAATCAGTGGTTAGGATGTTTAGCTGGGATCTGAGTGTTCCAGTTCCCTGAGGCTGCAGCAGATCTTGACCTGTACTTTTGCCCAACTGAGGCACTGCTCCAATGTAATCTTTTAGGATGAAGAGAAGGAATTGTGCAGCTTCTCTCAACATACTCTCTCAAGAACACTGTCTCTGATACTGCTTTTCATTTGGTTATTGTTAACTTTACATTCCATATGAAGTCCTAAGTCTGTTTTTCAGTGAGCAGCACAATGCATGAAACTCATCTTATTCTACATTAGACTCTCATAGTTGACATGGCTCCTGTAGGGACCCTCTGGTGTCAAAGAAGGCTTGAACACATGATAAAACCTTTCTCCCAGTGGAGGAACAGACAAAGCTGCTTCTTTCTCACAAGGCATTTTGATCAACTCTGAAAACATAGTATCTCTAGTGATCTTTGCCTAACTGCCGAATTAGTTGTTGTGAGCCTAGTGGCTCAGTCCTCACTGAAATTGGCTTGATGACCATGGTCAGAAGGACACTGGGCTACAAACAAAGTAAAATACTCCTACGTGAGGACCAGCCCTTTCAGCCAATTAACTCATAAGTGTCTTCAGGAGAATTTGCGTTTCATCATGGACTGATGAGCATTTAAAAGAACACAAGATGAAAGGGATGTGTTCCTGGGAACACCACTGCAAATGGTATGATGCCTTTGGGTGGTGGGGAAGGAAAGGAGTGGATTAGGAACAGGATGCCAGTGAAGCCACAGTAACGGTTCTGCTTTACATACACAGTAGAGAACGTTTTTGGGGATGGTGAAAAATGTAATTTCTCAGTGAAAAAAAACCCATTATAACTCTGCTGCTCTGATGTCTCTAAGTGACAATAACTTCAATCATTCAAAAATTAATAGCTTAGAAGGGCTTCTGCAACTTGATGTCTAGTCCCTCCTCATGTCCCAAGGTGAGATTAACAGTCCCTATGGTGTTTCCAATGCTGCTTGCCCAACCTGTTTTTACTGATACTCCTGAAAATTCAACAGCCAGCCTCCTTGATGGTCTCCCAGGTTGCAAGATAACTGCACAACTGTAATCTCTTTCCTAGGTGAATTTAGGGGATTCTCTGGCCTCTTTCATCTATACTGCTATTGCATTTCCCATCATAAATATTGAAAACTCAAAAACTACGCCTCAAATCCTTGCGCATTTCCCTTACAAGCAGTGAGTTTTTTGAAGGACTGACTCTCCAGAGGATATTTTTCCCCAGAAATTTGTATTGGGTGTAAGGAATGTCCTTGTCTGGAGAGGAGCTGTTTTGTGTGGATCAAGGTCTGTTCACATTTGTGGAGCACAAGAAAACAGGCTAGGCTTCAGCAGTGGGCTCAGGAGAAGAAACAGGTCTGTTGTTTGTCTCAGAAGGGAAAGGGAAAGAAATGGCACCATCCACAGTTAATTTGTTTGGCTAATGAACCATTTCACAGAGTGAGATGCTGACCCTTTGGTTATATAATGTCATCAGTGAACTGTCTTAGCGTAACAGTTTTACCTGCCCTGGTTAACATCTCAGACTTGGTCCACGTTAACATTTGATTCAAGTGGAGAATGAGGGTGTCACACTGAACGGAAACCCCTAAATGCCTTGTGTTTCTTTCCACAATGAAGCTAATGGCATACCATTGTGAAGGTCCAGTGACCCTTAATGCTGTAACCTAATAACCATGGAGAATACCCTTCAGGTGAGTGTCTTGGTGCAATAACTACCTATTTGAAACAAGATTGGTAGAGCCAGAGTTCCCCAGGTAATTAAATAAGATGACAGTTTCTTCAGCACTGTTTTCAAAGCAGGCCTTCTTATGGATGGGCAAAGTGCTCTAAATA